TATATATATATATATATATATAGTTTCTATTGTGTAGATAAAACATATTTAAAGTATTTCTATGAAATTTTAAAATTTATCCTACAAGAAGATAAAAAAACTTTAATGGTACTCTAAAATATAAAAATTATTCGGACTACATTTTCTGACCACGATTTAATAAAACCAGTGAAGTGGGAGAGTACTATACAAGATATTTAATTGCATTTTATCACTACAGAAATTTTAAAGGTGCCACATATGACAACTTAGATTAAATGAAGATATTGTTTGAAAGACACAAACTACTAAAACGTGCTTAAGAAAAAATAGATAACCTGAATAGTTTAAAAGGTAATATATCTTGTAGAGAAATTGAACTTGTAGTTTAAAACTTTCCAACAACAAAAAAGTCCAAGCCCAAGTGACTTCACTGGAGAATTCTACTTAATTCTTTAAGGAAGATACAAATCTAAACAAACTCTTCCATAAAACAGAAGAATAGGGACTGCTTCCAAACTCTTTTTAGGAGATTAGCATTACCCTGATACCAAAACCAGTAAAGACATTACCTGACAAGAAAATTACCAATATCCCTCATAAATATAGATACAAAAATCCTTAACAAAACATTAATAAATTGAATCCAACAGTATATATATATTTTAAATTCATGACCACTTGGCGTTTGTTCCAGGAATTCAAGGATGGTTCCAAGATTCTAAAAATAATGTAATTCGCCATGTCAATAAACTAAGGAAAATAAAACATATGATAATCTCAATAGAGGTAAAAAATGTTTTAAACAAAATTTAACATCCATTTATGATAAAAACTTTCAGTGAACTAGGAAAAAAGGAAACTTCCTTAACCTGACAAGGGGCATTTATGTCCCCCCAAAATAAACAAGCAAACAAACAAAAAATCTATGGCTGATATCAATCTTAATGGTGAGACTGAATGTTTTCTTCCAATGATTAGGAATCTAGGATGTCAGTTCACAATTCTTCCACTCAAAATTATATTGTAGTCAATGTAATAAAGCAAGAAATGGAAATAAAAGGCCTATAGATTGAAAAGGAAGAAATAAAGCTCTCACTATTTGTAGATGAGATGCTTGCCTACCTAGAAAATCCCAAGGAATCTACAAAACTAACAGAACTAATAAGTGAGTTTAATAGTTATTGTATAAAAGGTCAATATACAAAATTCAACTATATTTCTATATACTAGCAATGAATGATTGAAAAGTAGAAATTTAAGCAACTGAACCATTGATATTAGCACCAAAACCCATGAAATACTTTTATTATGTGCAGGATCTGTATGCTGAAAATTACAAAACTTGACGAAAGAAAATGAAAACCTAAAGATAAGAAGAGATGTGAAATGGTACTGCCATTTTGGAAACTATTTCTTATACAATTAAACATACACTTTACCATAAGTATCAGCAATCCTATTTCTTGGCACTAACCAAAGATAAATGAAAGCTGTGTCCACACAAAAAACTTGTACATAAATGTTCATAGCCACATTACTCATAACAGGCCAAAACTGGAAATAATCCAAATGCCCATCAGTGGGTGAATGGATAAGAAAATATGGTACATTCACAGTGATGTCAGAAACATGACAGAGTGAAAAAGTACCTTTGTCTCTCCCCTTCAATCTACAACCAATAAAACCCACACTCAACAAAGGTGCCACTGTCCAACACAACAGTTTGCCAGAGGACTCCACACATCTGTACATCTAAAGGCAGGTGAATTGGAACACTTAGAAGAGATGGAATGAGGGAACAGTGGAATCAGTGCCTGCAATCCTGGCCCTCTGACCACAGCAGCTGTGCCCACAGCTTCAGAGAACACAGTAGCAGCAGGGGAAGCAGCACATGTGACTACAGGCTCCAGACCACACCAGCACCCATGGCTACATGTAACTGACCAACAGTGGAGCCTGGGATCCTGTCCCTCCAGCCGTCGAGGTGACCACAACCTCACTGCCACTCCCCCACCTGCAGTGGCACAGCCCATGAACTCAATGAGATATAAGAAAACTCAGAAAGGTAGTTTAATGAGCTCAGGAATAAAAATGAATGAACAGAAAGAATATTTTACCAAAGAGACTGAAACTCTAAAAAGAAACAATTGGGAGATTGGGATTGACATATACACACTACTATATATAAAATAGATAACTAATAAGAACCTACTGTGTAGTACAGGGAACTCTACTCAATAGAGTGGATATATATGTATAGGTATAACTGATTCACTTTGCTGTACAGCAGAAATTAACACAACATTGTAAATCAACTATACGTCAATAAAAAAATAATTAAAATAAATAAATAAATAAAAAGGAACCAAAAAGAAACTCTGGAGCTGAAGAACTCAAGAAATGAGATGAAGAACACACATTAGAAGCACTGGAAACAAAGCAGACAATATGGAAGAGAGAATTAGCAAGCTGGAATACAGCAATCTAGAAATGATACAAGTAGAAGAGGAAAGAGAAATAAGATTTTTAAAAGGAAGAAATCCTGAGAGAGCTTTCTGACTCTTTCAGGAAGATCAACATTAGGATAGTGCATATCCCAGAAGAAGAGAGGGAAAAGGGAGCAGAGAGTTTATTTAAAGAAACAATAGCTGAGAACATCCCAAACTTGGGGAAGGAACTGGAGTTACAAGTCCATTAAGCTAAGAGAACACCTAATTACCTCAATGCAAAAAGACCTTTTCCAAGACACATAATATTAAAATTGTTAAAAGTGAATGACAAAGAATTTTAAAATCAGCCAGGGCAAAAAGGATGGTAACCTACCAGGGAACCCCCACTATTGGGCTATCAGCAGACTTCTCAGCAGAAACCCTACAGGCCAAGAGGGAGTGGAATGACATTCTCAAAATACTGAAAGATTAAAAACTGTCACCCAAGAATACTCTATATAACACAGTTATCATTCAGATATAAAGGAGAAATAAATGCTTTCCCAGACAAAGAGAAGCTGGAGTTCATAAACACTAGACCTGCCTTACAAGAGATGTTGAAAGGAACTCTTCTATCAGAAACAAAATGACAAAAATACACAAAACTTTAAGCAAGGTGATAAATAGAACCAGAAAATTGCCACTCTTTACCAAGATAGGTTTTTAAATACTTTATTATAGTATAAAGGTTAAAGGGAGAGAAAAAAAGAAAGCAGAAAAATAACTATAGCTATCTACAGTTTGGTAACAAACTCACTAAACAAAAACAGGTAATTTGAGACTACAAAAACAAAAGGGGACGAGGAAAAGGATGGAACTTATGCTTTTAAAAAATGTTCTAGTTCACTATAAATTATATCATAATGTGTGAAAAGCATGCTGAAATCAGAAGGCTAGAAAAATGATTAAATAGATTCTGGAAAGACCCAGTGTATAAAGATTCATAACATAATAGAGATGGATTTTAAAATCTTTGAACAAGATATAAATGTTTTCAATAATGGGTTCATTCATTCAACCAAACTCACTGAGTGCCTACTATGTGCCATGGCACTGTTTGAGGCACTGGAGATACAGCAGTTTAAAAAATGGACAAAATTTTCTTCCATCATGATGTTTAAATTCTGTCTCGTGCAGACCATCAATATAATAAATAAGTAAATAAGGTAGTAAGTTATAAGGTGAAAAATACAATAAGGATCATTAAATTAGGGTAAGGACAATGGAGGGGGATGCAACTTTGATGCTGGGAAAACTAAGTAGTCACCTGGGAGAAAGGTAGAGACTCCTACATTTTATACCTTAATACAAAATAAATCCTGGGCAGATGTTTTATTTAAATGTAGAAAATAAATTCAAAACATAGGTGAATTTTGGTGAATATATTAAAATCTTAGGTAGAGAAAGACTTTCTGACACTAAAGCCATCAATCATAAAGAAAAGGACAGATGTACTCAACTGTATGAGGATTATAAACTTCTATGTAGTGAAAAGCTAGGCAACCTGGGAAAAAATACTTGCCCTATCTATGATATAAAAAGGATATATTTAACTTTTCTATCCAATGGCAGTGATAAACACCCCGATTTTAAACGGGCAAAGGTAGTTTGCAAACAATGAAATACAAGTTCTATGAAAAAAGTAAAAACAATGTCAAATGTGCATTAGAACAAACATATTTACTAACATTGAAAAGATGAGCGATGGCTAGCGTGAAAGGGGAAGAAATGTACACTGCATCTTGGTGTGGAAAGTGTCAAAATCAATAGCCTCACAAACGTTCCTTTTGACACAGAATTTCCACCTCCGAGAATTTTTATTATAAAGAAATAAAATATACAGAGGTTTGGTCTCAAAGTTATTCATCATTTTTTGTAATAAGTCACAGCTTAAATGTCCAGAAATATCTGACAATTTAAATGAATGACAATTTAAACATCTATACCATGAAATATTATACAGCTGTCAAAAGGAATGTTGCAAATTTAAAAATCAGTAAAGTCAAATATAGGCAGAACTTCAGGCAACAATAAAAAATCTGAAATTAAAAAAATATATAATGTTGTAAATGCAAATGTAAATGCATGGAAATATAGTCATGATATGTCACTAAGTAATAAGGTTATTTTTAAAACAATGTATGATACCATATCCATAAACAAAAAGCCTAAAGAACCTTGAAGGGCATCTATTAAACATTAGGAATGCCTATTAATGGGAGGATTTACTGCTTGTTTGTATTTTCTGATTTTCCTAATAGTGAAATTTTGTTGTTTTATTTTTGGTTTTTAGCATAAAATTTATTTATGGTGCTTTAGAGTTTTAAAATCACACTGAATAATATGTGTGTACATATTACTCCACATTTTTAGTTTTTTATTATACTACACCTAGCACCCAGTAGGTAGATATTGTAGATAGCATTATTACCAGTTTACAGATAAAAGACCTAAAATTTAAAGTAGTTTAGTATTTTGCCAAGTGTCCAGTGCATATTAGATGCCAAAGCCAAGCACTGATTCCAGGTCTTACTCCAAATCTAATACCATCCCCCAGTCTGAAACAACAGTGTCTCTCACACAGGGACTATGGCAAATGCCACCCAAATCTATACCATAAGCATTTGTAATTTAAAAAACAAAACTAAACTAACACTTTTTGTTTGTAAGAAGGAAGAAATGCTTGCCTTGCTCAGTCTATTCAAATTTTGCCCCCGCCCTGGGCAGCCTCTTTGCAGAAAATATATAGTTAATATGCAGACATATCATTTAATTAAGTAGCAGAGTGAACTCTTCATTGATGGCTCATGATGAAAAAACAGAAAATGGAAATTCATGGGTAATTTGAAGAACTATTTGTATTCATTAGTCGCCCCTTTATTTTTCATGTTGTTTTTGTCTAGACACCAACAGATTACAATAGTAACCAATTCATTGCCTCTTTAGCAATACTCACTCCCCAACATTAATTCAAGTTGGTGAATGGTTAAGTAACTGGCCAAAAGAGTAGCAGGAGAAAAACTGCATGAATAATTCTGCAGTCCAGACATACGGGCTTTTTTTTTTTGAAGTACAATTGATTTACAATATTATATTAGTTTCGGGTGTACAACATAGTGATTCAATAATGTTATAGATTATATTCTATTTAAAGTTATTACAGAATAATGGCGATATTTCCCTGTGCTGTACAATATATCCTTGATGCTTATTTTATACATAGTAGTTTGGGGGAGGGAGACTCAGACGTGTGTGATTTTAAGAAGGTATCGTGTCCCTGTCACTGAGTACAGGTAAAAATGCCTTCAGATCAGTGCAACAGGAAGTACTCTCGTGAGATTACTCAGAAACAAGTCAAAATTAATAAAATCCCAATGGACATTAAGAGGTCTTTAATCAGCAAAACATGTTTGCTTTTGCTCTCAGTCCCATTTGCTCATAGACATCAACAGAACTAGGAATCAGAACACATCCAAGAAAAATGAGAAAGGAACACAAGTGAAGAGCAAGTAGCATTCTGCAATCCTCTGTTTAGAAAAAAACTTTGTAATAAAATTAGTCTCTACTAAGGATATTTTCACATTTTCAAACTAGAAGAACATTTACTTGTGAGTATGTGGAAATATTTTTTCAAGTATGGTACTTATATACCAATTCAAATGGAATCATTGTATACCCTCCCTCCCAAACATTCTGCTATCTTTCCATAGCTCCCTTTTTTTTCACCTCAGCATGAGCCCCATCTTCTAAAAGATAAGAAATCCATCAACAGCTCCCTCCCTCCCTCCGAACTTCAAACTGACTTACTAGTGTGAATTGAGAAGGTCAATGTCTTCATCACCATCATCGATCTTGGACAGCTGTTCCATCATACTTTAACCGCCAACAAATGCAAAAATATATCATTAGAGATTTGCTACATGGAACAGTGATGTGAAAAACTTATTTGAAGAAAAAGAATTCCTTAAATCTAAAGGAACCATGACTTAGCTCACTGGATGACCCAATCTTACAGAAAGAAATTTAGAATCATTGTCTAGAAAACTCTGTATTCCTATGGATACTTCTAAGACTGAATTTTGCAAGTCTTTCCCTCTCTGTTTCTCCCTATGTCTCTGTCTCTGCTTCTCTCTCTCTGTCTCACTCTTTCTATAAAGATAGAGATTAATAATATATAGATAGCACTGATGCAAGTAAATTATATCAGCAGCCTTGGAGGGCACCATAACTAAAAGGCAAGATATATCAAAGTAGTCAAAGACCTTTGATGTCAATTTATTTGGGTCATTGTGAGGGATTAAAAATGTACATAGCACGAAATGACTTCACTTTTTTTTGGCTGAAATTGGATACACTTGCTCTAGAACTTATAAACTGGTTGAACTCTAAAAAACTTATATGTCAGTTATTTGGAACCTGGGTCCCTGCACCACCTACTTTTCACATACTATGGATATCGTTTTCTCCTTGAATAGGTTTCAAGTAACTGCCTGAGACAAGGACTCCATAACTAATTGGATTTCACAAATCTCAATATCCTCCCTTTTCCCCTCTCTCTATATTTATATCTCACCTTTCATCTCTGCCTCTCAATTCACATGAGTCAGGGCTAAAGGATTAAAATGTACATAGTAAGATTCCATGTGTCTTATAGATTTATTTTTAAATGCAATTTAGCTATAATTACTCTGCAATTTATAATTTAGTTGCCCTAAAAATAACATTCTAATCAGTTATTTAAAACCTGGTATTCTGAGCCTGTGCATGTGATGAAGAGTGGCCCCCACTTGCCACAACTAGAGAAAGCCCTTGCACAGAAACGAAGACCCAACACAGCCATAAATAAATAAATTAATTAATTTTAAAAAATAAATAAATAAATAAATAAAACCTGGTATTTAATTTTTCTGTAGAAATGAACTTTATGTGTTGGTAATAAAAATCTTAGTCCTGTGGGAATACTTAATAAATCAAATTTATGTACATTTCTTTACTCCCAAACCTAACCCCCAAGTGTAACACCATTTTGTGATTAAATTTACTTCAAATTCAGCTTGAGTTTGTAGGTACTCATCTCACTTGTCCTATAATTTTCTGCCTTCTCAAGTCCCTACACTACCTAGTAACCCTTCACAAATCATAGACGTCTTTCCTGCCCTCCAGACAGGGTCAAGACAAGGCAGGGGCTCCCTCCAATGTGATGGTGGGTTTGGGTTTGGGGCACCAGCCTCACATGGTGGCAGAGCTCTGGAAGGTGAGGGACACATCCAGGGTCTATCAGATCCATTTTTTTCTGCTGAGGGTTCCCCTCTGCTCTCTATCCACTGAGACCTTCTCCTAACTCCTATTATGATTCTGTCCTCTCTCGGCCCACGCATGGGCAATCTGATACTTTCCTAAAGAAAAGTATCAGATAGTGGCTGCTCCTAACTAAGAGTCAAACAGACTTGGGGTAAGAACACTCCCTTCTATGACCTGTTCTTTTTTTTCCCCCAAATAGATCCAAAAAAGAAAGAAACATATTGAGGCTGGCAAAACAAACAAAACCCTTAGATAAAGCGTTGAAGAAACCCTGTATTGCCATAGATGGTCCCCAGAATAAATTTCACAAATCTCAATATCGCCCCTTACACTATCTATATATATTTATATCTCACCTTTCATCGAAGGGTTCGACACAAGTTACTTCTTCCACCTCGCTCTGGTCATAGCTAAAGGATTATAAATGCACATGGTAAGACTTCACATGTCCCTAGACTTATTTTTAAATGCACATTAGCTACAATTGCTCTACAATTTATAACCTAGTTGTCCTAAAAATAACATTCTAATCAGTTATTTAAAACCTGGTATTTCATTTTCCCCTGTAAGTGAGGCTTTATACATTTGTAATGAAAATCATAAGTCCATGGGGGGAAAAAGTCATGAATCAAGTTTATAGACATTTCTTGACTCCTGAACCCCTTCAGGAGTACAACTTTCTCCTCGCAAAATAAGTTTCTCTCCTTTCTTGGCCCATTTTAGTAGAGCCTCACACACGAGCATTTGGATAGTTTCCCAAGGGGTTTCGGCTGCATCTAAGAGTGATGAACAGATGAGTAAGAAGCATCCCTCTTATGACCTGTTTCTGTTTTATCCAACTAGATACAAAAAAAAGAAAGAAAGAAACATACTTACATAGGCTACAGTAAAAAGATTTAGAAACAATGTCAAAGACACTCTGTTATGCCATGAATACTCCTAAAAATGAACCTCCCAAATATAATCAACCCCTCTCCCCTTTCCTCTCTCTGTTTCTCTCATTCTCGCATGCTCTCTCTTCTCTGCATTTATATACATATATATATATTTTTTGTTGACATCTATCTTTATTTCTGTCTCACGTATTAGTGGTGGGTCCATCAGGTCTTCCTGTTGTCAATTCACTCAAAGCAGTGCTAAAGGATTAAAAAGGCACAGAGTCAGACACCCTATAATTTTCTCAGTTAAACTTTCTGGTTCAAATTAGTTTAAGTTAATGCTTTCACTTCTAAACTAGATGACCCTTTAAAAACTGACATGTAAATCGATTGCTTGAAACCTGGTAGGTCATTTTCCCCAGAAATGAGGCTTTATGTATTTGTAATGAATATCTTACACTTGTCAGAAAGGTAATGACTCAAGATTGAAGGACAGTTCTTTACTACTGAATCTGATCCAATGTGTAACAACCTTTTGGGGTGGAATTTATTTCAAATTCAACTTCAGTTTGTAGGTACCCAACTTTCTTGACCAATCTAACTTCCTGACCACGTCTGTGCTCCACAGGAAGCATACTCGTCTTTCCTGCCCTTGACATAGGGTCAAGTAACTACAGGCCTGAGTCAGGGGCTCCATCTGATGTGAACATGGGTCTGGATTTGGGTTATCGGCCTCACATGGTAGCTGATACAATTTATTATTATTCTCCTTGCTCCAGACGGCTTTCATCTTCCCCACACCCACTCCAGGAGAGTCGCATACACAGGCAATCTGACAGTTTCCCGAGAGTTTAGCTGCTAGTAACTGAGAGTCAAGACTGGGAGTAAGAAGACTCCCTCTATGTCTTGTGCCTCTTTTTCTATCTCAATTCAAAAGACAAAGACTATTCCACATAGAATCCTACCGTGAGCAAACATGAGAAACAGTATCGAGGGAACTCTATATTCCCATGGGTGCTCCTAAGGGTGAACATCCCAAACCTCAATCTCTCTGAATATGTTATGTTATGTATGTTTGTATGTGTGTACATATTATACATGTATTTATTTATCATATCTTACTTTGCCATGAAGAATCCTCCTGCCAATTCACTCAGGGTAGTGCTATGGTATTGTTTTGTTTTGTTTTTGTGCTATGGTATTAAAAATAGACATAGTAAGATACCACATGACTTCTAGACTTTTACATTTTTAGTTCAAATTAGCTATAATTACTCTTTTTTTTTTTTGGCTGCACTGTGCATCCTGTGGGATCTTAGTTCCCCAAACAGGGATTGAACCTGGGCCCTCAGCAGTGAGAGTGTGCTGTCCTAACCACTAGACCGCCAGAGAATTCCCTGCTACAATTACACTTAAGCTTATAAACTGGTTGGCTCTTAGGATATTCACATGTAAATCAGTGATCTGGAACTTGATATCTCATTTTTCCTAGAAATGATTCTGTACACATTGTAATGAATATTTTTGACCCACCAAAAAAGTTAATGACTCAAGGTTGGTTCAAGATGGTGGAGTAGAACGACGTGCTCTCACTCCCTCTTGCACGAACACCAGAATCAAAACTAAATGCTGAACAATCATCCACAGGAAGACACTGGAACTCACCAAAAAAGATACCCCACATCCAAAGACAAAGGAGAAGCCACAATGAGATGGTAGGAGGGGTGCAATCACAATAAAATCAAATCCCATAACTGCTGGGTGGGTGACTCACAAACTGGAGAACACTTACACCACAGAAGTCCACCCACTGGAATGAAGGTTCTGAGCCTCACGTCAGGCTTCCCAATCTGGGGGTCCGGCAACGGGAGGAGGAATTCCTAGAGAATCACACTTCGAAGGCTAGCGGGATTTGATTGCAGGACGTCAACAGGACTGGGGGAAACAGAGACTCCACTCTTGGAGGGCACACACAAGGTAGTGGGCACATCAGGACCCAGGGGAAGGAGCAGTGACCCCATAGGAGACTGAACCAGACCTACCTGCTAGTGTTGAAGGGTCTCCTGCAGAGGTGGGGGGTGGCTGTGGCTCACCAAGGGGACAAGGACACTGGCAGCAGAAGTGCTGGGAAGCTCTTCTTGGAGTGATCCCTCCCAGGGTCTGCCATTAGCCCCATCAAAGAGCCCAGGTAGGCTCCAGTGTTGGGTTGCCTGAGGCCAAACAACCAACAGGGAGGGAACCAAGCCACACCCATCAGCAGACAAGTGGATTTAAGTTTTACTGAGCTCGGCCCACCAAAGCAAAAGCCAGCTCTACCCACAACCAGTCCCTCCCAACAGGAAACTTGCACAAACCTCTTAGATAGCCTCATCCACCAGAGGGCAGACAGCAGAAGTAAGAAGAACTACAATTCTACAGCCTGTGGAACAAAACAACATAGACAGAAAGACAGACAAGATGAAAAGGCAGAGGGCTATGTACCAGATGAAGTAACAAGATGAAACCCAGAAAAACAACTAAATGAAGTGGAGATAGGCAACCCTCCAGAAAAAGAATTCAAAATAGTGATAGTGAAGATGATCCAGGACCTCAGGAAAAGAATGGAGGCAAAGATCAAGAAGATGCAAGAAATGTTTAACAAAGACCTAGAAGAATTAAAGAACAAACAAACAGAGATGAACAACACAATAACT